TGTACTTTTGTCATCTGGGCCATGATGTCTTACTGTCTTACTTACAATACCCCTATTTCGAACGGTTGGTATTCACGGCCGTCCTCTTAGTCAACACGGTCACGCTCTTGCGCACCGTACTGCGCTACTCTCATAATCTATTGGTGGATTTAGTCATCATGTTACATACCTTCCTGCACCAGATTAATCGTTCTACCGTCCGGTTTTGGGACGATCTACTATGTTGCTTCGTTGATTAAAGCTGTGGGTCATTGAGACCCAGGTAACTTTAGTTCTACGTGTCATGTAAGTCCACGCCCGGCGGGAGGGAATGTAGTTAGGGCTGGATTTCGTAGGATGGAGGAGAGCGGACGGCTGCCTGAAGGGTCGGTGGTGTATTGATTACCCTGCCAATATGCGCCCGGCCGTAAAGGGGCTGGCTGTTTTAGGTGGTTACAGTAGCAGGGGCGTCGGCAGATGAGGTCAACCGCCACTCCGACGTGTGTAAACATCTGAGTCTGGGTACGACGCTGCAGTAGCATCTGGATCCGGGGCTCCGGGTAGGCGCGGGAGAATGCAGACCGACCAACAGTAGGCAAGGCCAGATAGGACTATTGGCGTCCATTTCCCTCGTATCATATTCCTGAGTCAGAAACAAAGCTCCAGAAGCGGTGGATCCGGGTGTCCGTGGCGACTGGGTTCAGGGTCGAAACAAGAGGGGTCTTTTGGTTGGGGGGGGTGGGGAGGAGGCGGAGGAAGGCGAATCGCGACTTAGACATGTTAATAGTGACCATTGACAGAGGGGCCACTGTCCTGACTCTGATGCAGAGGAAATGAGCAATGATTGTGGTGGATTATTCTTTGAAGGAACTTCTAGGATGCATATCAGCCAATAGGATTGGGGTAAATGTGACAGTCAGTCATGCCTAGGTACCTAGGTACTTACATACCTACCTAGTACCTAGTATCCCCGATTGCAAGCCTTTGACACGAGTTTGGAGATGATTGAGGTCAGGATTGTAGGGAGTGCAAGGTACCTAGTAGCACCTTAGTAAAGACCTACTCCCAGTAGTGGACTGTATGTTCAGTATGGTCAGTATGGATTGTATGTCCTGTATGTCCTGTATGCACACTGCACACGGAGTGGGCAGAGCAGACAGTGATTGGCGGAGAAATGGCGTCCGCTGCCCCCCGGCCGGCGGAGGCAGAATTCCGGGGAAATTCACCCGGCTTTCCCACTGCTTACTTTCTTTCCCCATCTTTTTTCTTGTCCGTTGGTCTGTCTGATCTCCAGGCTTCTTTCTAGCCTGGCCCACCAGGTAGTAGTTAAGTTAGGTACTGCGTACTGAGTAGTCTACGCTCTACGTTCTACGAGGTACCGTCCCGACTACCGCCCCAATATTACCTTTTCTTCCCTCATATCTCCTCCCCACCCTCAACCCTCAACCCTCTTCCCTCCCTCTCTCTTCTTCGTTCAATCTTTCTCTCCTCCTCTTTCTCTCCCTCTTTCTTCTCCCCTCCTCCTTTTCCTCTTTTCTCCGATCCTCCTGGCAAATGTCGTTCTCCCCCTTCTGGCTTCTTCCCGCTTTTACCCTTGGTTCTTGCTCGTCCTCCCACGCTCTTCGCTCACCTTCTCCTCCTCCACGCCTACATCCAATCCTCTCCCTTCCTTTCCTTTGATTGTCTACTAGAGCTATAGCTAGTGGGCAATAGGAATCGGTTACCTATCATCCCGTGCCCGTCAAATCACTAAAGCCACCATCCCCATCTAGCACATAACAGTGGATAATATAGGGTTCTTTCCCCACGCTCGCTTCCACTCGGATTGTGCCAAATCGTCCAGTTTGTCGCCAACAGCGTGTGTGGCTGGCCAAGGCCTCCTTGATGCGACTGCCTGTCTCGCAATCCTGATCAGCCCCCTATCTCTTCTTCCGACTTAATCTGTCATCCTATTGCGCCTGTAACCGCCGGCTGGGATAGTACCGAATACTCCTCGTTACCGCAACCAAGCATGAAAACGGGCAGTGGACTGCGTATGCGATGAGATGATGCAGACTGCCTTACAACAGCCCGTGGGGATGACGCTTTTGGCGGATGCCGCCACGTCCCTCACGGCTCTCAAAGGTTCAACGTCAATTGCGGTTTCTGCTTCCCCAACCCCAACTGCACCTCCGGAGTCCGCCCGGACCGTGGTCACTCTGTTTACCCCCGGACAGGAGGGCATAGTGCAGGTTATTGCGGAAATCTTAGGCAAGCCATGGACAACGGAAACCTCCCTATCCGCTCTGGGGAGGGGCAGCAGCGCAGTGGTTGTCGGCGTCCTAGCTACCAAAGATCTAGCCCGAGACTTGCACGAGGGCGATCACACGGCCTGGATCCTCGTCAACACGCATTGTGTCGACGACGGCTCTTTCCCGGAGGAAGCACTGAGCGACTGTTGCCATTATGAGTTCCTATACTCCCTCCGGAGCCCGTTCTTTCGGCGGGATCTGACTCGGTTCCTCTCGTTGATCCTGGGCCAGACTCGTCCCCATGAGGATCTGAAGACCAAAAGCCGGACGAATTTCATCTCCACAACTTTCCCCGATGTCCATGCTGCGTTGCCAAACCTGGACATTCTCTCGGTTGGTTCAGATGCGGTGGAGATTCGTGTTGACTTGCTGGTGGACCCTGCAACTCCTCCCTCAGGCACTACGAGCGCAGTGCCGAGTTTACGGTATGTGGGACAGCAGTTAATGTTACTGCGGCAGCATACAGAACTGCCCATCATTTTCACCACTCGCTGTACGAAAGAAAATGGCAAGTTCCCAATGGACGATCCGCAGCTATTTTACCGTTATCTCCGCCGTGCCATCCAATGGGGGGTAGAGTACATTGATGTGGAGTTGTGGTTGCCGGAGTCTATCCGCCAACGGTTGGCGGCGGAGAAGGGCAACAGCATCATCATGTCAGCCTTCCATGATTTCTCAGGGACGTGGAAGTGGACCTCCCCCGAAGCCCCACGGATTTTCGCGCAAAGCGCCCAGTACGCGGATATCGTCAAGATGATTGCGATGGTCACGACGATTGAGGCCAATTACGAGCTTGAGTATTTCAGGTCGGAGATACGCAAGACTCACGGGGCGTATCCCCTTTTATCGGCGGTCAATATGGGCCAGTTAGGCCAGCTGTCGCGAGCCCTAAATACAGTATTCTCGCCCATCACGCACCCATTGCTGCCGATGATTGCGGCCCCGGGCCAGTTGACCGCGGCGGAGATCAATGAGGCGCTCCACATCATGGGCCAGCTGCCGAAGCGCGATCTGTATGCGATTGGGTCGTTTCGCTCGACGCCACAGTCCATGTTCATGGAGAAGTGTTTCAACGAGCTGAGTCTTCCCCACTCTTTGACCTCAATCGATCGCGGACCAATGGGATCAGTCGAGCGGGTGCTCACTCAGGCCACCTTTGGCGGAGCGTCGGTGCAACCACCGATCCCGAGCGGTACCGGGTGCATTCCAGCCGTGAGCGAGGCGGCGCGAGCGATCGGGCTGGTAGATACGATTGTGGCTGGCCCTCAAGGTCCGCAGAAGACCTTGGTGGGAGAGAACGCGACATGGAAGGGGATTCGAGCAACTCTGACTCGGGACTACGTGCCGTCGGCATACCGCGGCCGGACGGCAATCCTTTTGGCGGCCAGCGAGAGTGAGGCATCGGCAGCCATCTATGCCCTGCGCAGTTTAGGAGTGGGTGCGATCCACACGGTGGGCTTCCGAGCCCGAGGCCCCTTGGCAGCGGGGCTTGAGCCCTTCACCTCCATTCAATCAGTCAAACGGGTTGAGCAACCGTTTGTGATGGTATCCGCGCTACCCCCGGAGAAGTCGTTGCTAGTCCAGCCGCTGCTGCGACATTACCGGACCAGTGGGCACTCGTCACCACCGTCTACTCGAGGCAAAGTCTATCTCGACTTGACCCGGGGGGAGCGCACGGGCGACCCTGTCAATGTAGCTGTGCGTGCAGGATGGACGGCCTATGGAATTGAAGACGTGGATGCGTGGACGACGGTGGAGACGCTGCGCTTGCTGGTGGGCCAGAATGTGCCATTTGACTTTGTGCGGATGGCTTCAGGACGGGTGTTCTGATTTTGATTTCCTTTCTTTTCTTTTTTTTTCTCCCTCTCTTTTCCTTCTTCTCTCATTTTCTTCTCTTTCTCTCTTCTCCACGTCCTTATCTTTTCTCGGTTGTTTTGTCCGTCCTTGGAGACGAACGAGGAGAAGGGAACCCGTGATTGATTACTATACACTGATTTGGGCCAGGAGTTCGCGCGGTGTAGATTGTATGTTATTTTTTCCTCTATTCTGAACCAGCCAGTCAACGGCTGTCGGTATGAATGACATGAAACGAAACAAGACCGAATCTCTCGTTGGGGCTTAGGGGGAGGGGAAAGGGCGGAGAAGGAGAGAAAGAAACGGCAAGGATCTACAGTGGATTCCGGGGTAAGTGGGAGGGAGCTGCAGAACTGAAGTATAACGACTATGGAGTATATGTAGGTAGTAGATTAATATGTACGGTAGTTACAGTACATATATAGCGTAGTCACCGGACGGCAATCCGTGCTGGAAGCGGGAAAATCCCGGGGGATACCGATGATGGTTTTACCCCTGCAGCTTTCCCAGCTTTCACAACTTTCCCAGCTCCCTTCTTCTTTTTCTTCCCCTCTTGATCCCAGGATGATTTATTTCTTTTCGTCAACCTTTGGACTGATTTTGCAACTGAATCAGACTGCAGTGACTGACAATGCTTCTGATTGCTTAATTTACTTTACCCTTACCCCCGCATCGATTCCCTTTTCACTTTTCTCTTTCCCCTCCATCTTCTCCCCCCCGCTAAGCCTTTTTGACCTTAACTGTCCCCACTGGGTTTCTCCGCGTTTGCAGTGCAGCCAATAAATCCGGGGGTGCTGGGCTTCTTCTTCTCTCTTTTCCCTTCTTTCTCTCGCGCTGTCTCTCATGGTCTCTTTCTCTTCCTCTCTCTCACCCTCTCTCTCTCTCTTTTATTTTTGAATCCCTCCATCACTTTGCCTACGACTATCAGTGATCAACTATTACCCTTTACTCTCCTCCTCCCTCGTTATCTAACTGACTTGACTTCACTAACCCCCCCCCCTCCTCCTTTTGTCTCTTCTCTCTATTCATGTTATAGAGAATGCCATGTCCCGCCCCCAGGTCAGCATCGACCGTCTCACACCCCGACGTGTTAATGTCGAGCCCCGCGAATCGATGAACTGTAAATCCTGTCGGAAACGCAAGGTAAAATAAATCCCGACCTGCACAAAATCCCCCGCTGACGACCTGCCTTTCGCCTTTTTTCTCTCGATTCAGATCAAATGCAACCGTCTGCGCCCGAGCTGTGAAGCCTGCAAGGTCTTCCAGTGCCCATGCATCTACGGTTCGTTGCTTTGCCTGTTCCTCTGTATCAATCTTGATGTTTTGTTTTGTTTTGTTTGGTTTGGTTTGGTTTATTTTCCCCTCGGCCCCGATCAGACCATCCGTGCACCCGCCGAGGTGTCTTTCTAAATTCTTGTTTCTCCCTCGTTCTCCACCTCAAGTACAACACTCACAATTTTTCCTTCCAGATGCTGTCCCCAAGAAACGCGGACCCAAGACGGATGTCTTGGAGGCTCTGTTGAAGCGTGTCGATGGGCTTGAGAAACGTCTGCAGGAGGATTCTCCAATTTCGCCCGTCTCGTCCGTCTCGCCCATCAAGTCGGTCGAGCAACAGCAGCAGCAGCAACAACAACAGCAACAGCAACAGCAACAGCAACGACCGCAACCCCCGCCATTGTTACCCCCAGCCTCCGTGGCCTTTGCGCAGCCCCCACCGCCGCAGAGTTATGGACTCCCACCTCGGTTACCCGACGCCATGCTCGACACTTATTTTTCTCGTCTGCATGGTAAGCCTTACTGGATTCTAGACGAAGCCCAAACCCGACAGCGCCATCAATTGGGTCAATTGCCCGTTCATTTGTCTATGGCTATCTACGCCTTGACGTCACGGTATTTGCGGCCCTTCCCCCTCCATGCTGGAACTTTCGTACTAAATCGGTCTTGCAGCTATACCAATCCCAACCCGGTCCTCGGCAGTCAGGAATATGCGCGACAAGCTCGCCGGCTGGTGGACATCGATTACCCCTCGATTGACGGCACACAGACACTCTTGTTGCTCTCTCAAACCTTTTTCGCCCATGGCTGTGGGAAAACGGCCTATATGGTTCTCTGTGAGTCTATTCCGATTTTGGTCAAACAGCCGAGACTAATTTATTTGCCAGCAAATGCGGTCGCTATGGCCTTGGCCCTGGACTTGTATCGCGAGGTCTCCATCCCCACCCTGCCCGCCTCCGAACGTGAGATGCGCCGCCGCCTGTTCTGGACAGTCTACACCATGGACCGCTTCTTGACTTGCGGCTCCAAGCGGCCGTGCCTTATTGCAGATCACTCGATTGCACTGCGGCTACCGGGCGCTGGCTCGGAGACTGGAGAAAGCTTCAATCCTGTCGGCCCTAACATTCACTATTCTCCCGACCGGCGCAAGGGCCCTGGGGGCCCAACTTTACTGGTCGACATTACCCGTATACTAGGCGTCACTCATCGGTATTTGGCGGCGGGAGGTGTCAAAGGCGACTCCCATTTTCCGTGGCATGCATTGTCCAATTTGTCCAAGATCCGACAGGAGCTGGACCTATGGGCCGCCGGCACGCAGGATCTCTTTACCTCAATCGAAACGCTTTTCGGCCATCCAGAGAGTACACTATTACTACTGAGCAAGCTGATCTACCATCTAGTGCACTGCCTGCTTTACCGTCCCTTCCTTCCCATTGACTTGGTAGAACTGCGCGGCACCGGCCAGCATCAATCCTGGCAAATTGAGGCGACCACGCTCTGTTTCTCGCACGCCAATGCAATTGCCGAGCTAGTTGAATTGGCCCGACACGCTCCACGCATTGAATGGCCGTCACTCGTGGCGTACTGTGTCTGTACCGCCGGCACGGTGCATGTACACGGCGTGCACTACCACGGACGTGAAGGCGAGGTGTTCGCATCCAGCGCCGACTTCCTGAATCGTGAAATGCATCAGTTGGCCTGGCTGCGGCAGTATTGGGCCGGGGTGCAGCATCAACGGGAAATGCTACAGCGCATTGCAACCTGTCATGCTGACTTGGTACGCACAATGGCAGCCCGCCCGGTCCGGTTTGCGCCTGTCTTTCACCTCGAAGACTTTTTCGACCGGTACCCAGGCTTGGCTGTTGAGAGCGGACACGTGCGGTTGGTGGATGGAGATGAGCCGTAAGCCATTGACCCGAACCGCTTGGCTGAAAGAAACAAATTTGCTAACCTGCTTTCACAGCCTCCCGTTCCTTGACCGACAAGACTTCCCTGGCGGACTCATCTATCCTGCTACGGCGACGCTCCCCTCCCAAGGACGGCCATCGATAAGCTTCCAGTCGTCGCAGGCGTCTCCACCGTGGGGCCCCGGGCCTGACTTGACTCTTCCGGAAACCAGTCTGGGATTTTCTCCTGGAGTTAGCAACTCTCCGGCAGCGTTCTTGTCCGAATCTTCCTTTACTGCTCCGACACCACCGGCCCAGCCACAATACGCAACGTTCCCATTCGAGGCCGCGCCTGGCACGGCATTAACACCAGACGCACCCTCTCAAGGCAGCTCTGGTACTGTCACTGGAGGCGGGGCCGGAACCAGCGACGGCGAGAAAGATCCATTCCTCAGCCTGTTGGAGCAATTAGCAGAGAATGAAAATTCTCAGGGCGGGCCCAGTGAACTGGACTTCTTCCTAGGCGAGGGATTGGACTCGGTCCCTGTGCCCGATGATCATTTGGTGGGCCCAAACAGCTTGCCCGAACCTGAGTGAAAGCCGATGATGGTTCTGCAATTTCGCTCACCTCCTTATCTGATAACGGATCTGGATATCTTGCTGGACCTTACCAAATTACCGCAAACAGTTACCCGGGTCATGATATCATACCACGTGACTCTCAAAGGGGGGGGGGGGTTCTGGGAGGGCATGTGATGATGCGGAGAATAACCTTCAACCCTCTCGCTTTTACTATCATGGTTTCATTGAGGAATCATGGATTTTCGCATCGATGCCCTCGCTACGGCCAACGATTGGGTCCAAGGCTCGCCGACGCGACCGTATACCGGCATCGTCAGCCTGTACATGGCCGATCAGCTCTCCGCTGAGACGGCTGCACGGGAAATCGTCAGCGTGATCAACGAGATGTATTATGGCGGAGACAGCGGGCTAGTCGGTATGATATCTTGGACCTAATGATCATATCTTATTGATACCCTGGTAGAGGAGGGCCTTATCGATCTGTGGCGAACAATCGCGCACACTTCTAAGACGCTGGAGCGATCGATATGTATCCGACAGCCATATCGGACTGAACAAGAGCCATCGATTGACGGCGATTCACCGACAACGCCGACCGCTACGCAGCCCGCGACACAATCAGACCGGTCATACTACCCACCCACCCCAGCGCAACGTAAACTCCTCACCCTTCTCAAAGCCATCAGAACCTTTCCCCCGACCGACCCCATGCCCGGCACAATGGCCGGAACCAGCCATCAACACCACCCCTCCTTATCGCCCTACCTCGGTGCCACTGTCTTCTCCTCGTCCTCATCATACTATGGGTCATCCTTGGGTAGCAACCACAGTGATGGGGGTGGCATGCTCGCTGATGACGCGGAAACGCGAATCAAGTGTAAGAGGGGTGTTTGCTGGGCCGCTCTGCCATTTTTCCGTGAGGTCATTGCAGAGATATTCCAGGAGGATGCTCCGGGAGATTGGTATCGTCGACCATCGCAATCGCGGCACAGCGCACCTGCCCCTGCACCTGCTAGTACGGAGTCACGGTCGATAACACCACTTTCTACTGCAAAGTGGCCTGAAGCACCGACAGGCGCGGAGCCCTCATCTCATTTCTATTCCGCTCAAAATCCTATTCCTGCTCAGCTCAAGGTCCCCCCGCCAAAAGTTGGCTTCGAGCATTCTGAAAGTGAGGCCTGGCTCAACCTCACCTCATTTCTGGCATTCATGAGCAAAGAATCCATCCTAGATACTCTTGACGATGTCGGCCTCGTCATGATGGGATCTGTGTTGGGCAGCGAGGGAATGGCTCTCTCTGCTCCTGCTTCTGGGATTGGCAGCCATTCCCACGGCCAGGGTGGTGATTATCCCCTTTATCCTCAGAGTCAACCTGAGAGCTTCACTGGCTGCATCGTCACCAAACCGTGTCTTGACCTTTACATCTCGGCCGCAGCCATCTGGGCCGTGATCACAGGCGATGATATCTGGAATCGCAGGGGTGAGGCCGCAGGAAACGAGTTTGTGGTGGGACTGTCATTGGACGATGATGACAGATACGGTGACTCAACCATGCTAAGGAGGACTGCCTCCATGTCGCTGGGGAGTAACAGCACAACAGGCGCCATTTCGACCATGTCTGGTGGCCCGTCAGGCCTGGCACCCACCACTCCCGCAAGCAAAGAAGCCAGGGCTATCCGTAAAGCTAAGGCCGACGAGCGGACTCCGCGAGGAGACGGCAAGGATGCTATCTCCCGCCGGACGTGGGACGCGTGGATCGGCCGCCTTCAGGCGGCCAGCTGTCATGAGGATCTGGCAGCGTCGACTAGGTCAATCGCTGCAGAGGCGGCGGACGTGATGTTGAGCGCTTGCACGTCGTTGGATACATAATGTCACGTAATACTAAAGGCTCACCGAGCGGGAGGGCACCCTACTCGTCACTCAAATGGGTATAATGGAATAATCATACATATACGCTCCAGCAGAGCTCTTATTTCATCAATGAATATCTCTGTGATCCTTGGGCAATTAACCAGATTTGGGTGATTTTGTAGATCGGAGCACACTGCCACCGCGCTGCGTTCCTTTCAGAAGTCCAGAGCCAGACCAGACCAGCTGAGTAACCGAACTGGCCGACTGGACTGGATGTGCCATGTTGACGGTAGTTTCCAGACCACGAGATGAGGGGCTGCGTACTGTACCTAACTCCTTCCGAACCCGGAATCCGGAAGCCAAGATCAAGCCTGTCTGAACAAGCCATTTCTAAAGTGACTGCGTCCGACTTTCTGGCAAACTGCTCCAGCAATGTGTATCTTATTTCTTTGAAGAGAAACAACCAGTTTCCACTACCTGAGTTCTGAATAAAAGGGTATGTATGACATATAGCTCTATCTAGAATTGCCAAGTCACGTCGCAAGAATGCTGGAGGAGGGGCAGTGAATCGCCCTTGCCACGTACAGTATATGAGCGTATAAGTGACACTCCACAGTTCAATGCACACATAACGAATATAGATTAAGAAGATATAAGGGAACAGAAAAGAAAAACGACGCAATGAACTCTAAGATAGCCTCGCTATGAACGACTCGAAAAGTGTTACAAAACTGGAAATATATGATCTGTATGTATCTAGGAGAACTTGACCCCTTTACTTGGATCCCACGTCCCTGCTGCTCCGCCCGCCGCTCCGAAACGAATCCCCATTTCCGGCGTCCACATGCCCGGCGTCATCGGGGGTCGCGCGTTGGCCCGCGTCGGTTGCGGGGCGGTCATGGGTTCTGCGCGGGGCGGCGCTTGGGGTTGAGGTTGGGGTTGTTGCGGTGTCGTCGGGACTGCTGCGGGAATGGGGGCGGCTTGGGGTTGAGGCGGCGGAGCGGGTGCGTTGTATGTTGCTCGTGACTGTTGCTGCGCCGGTACAGGTGCTGCTGCTACTGGGTCGTATGCCTGATGTGGAGTCTGGCTATAGAGTTGGGTGGTTGGGACGGACGACGTATATGATGGCTGCTGCTGCTGTTGACGAATGGGTGGGGAGATGTTCAGTGAGGCCATTGCGGCAGCACTGGAGATGTCACTATGAAGGAGGCGGTTAGCTCAATTGGTAAGGAGGACTGGTTCTTCGGGGGGGGGGGGGGGGGGGGGGTAAGAGGCTGCTCACGCTTCGATCTGACTAGCTTCCATCCTCCGCTTGTGCACAAAGGCCTTGCAATCGTCGCGAAATCGTCCTACGATCTTGGCCAAGTCGTTGTAGAATTTGCGCCCGACTTCGATGTTGGATATGATCTCCTTGTACTTCAGGTATCCGTTCTCCAGTTCCTGCAGGGCACGTTCTCTTTCCTTTGTCGACGCATCGCCAGTATGTGCGCGTGAGAAGGCCCGGTTGGCCTCGCAGATGCGTGATGCGAGCTGGTCCTGCTGCTGCTGCTCCTCGACTACCATCTGCAGGTCGGTGTCATACAGGCGGAGCTGCTCCTCGAAAAGGTCCTCAAACTGGCTCGCCTGAATGGGCTGCATGGGAAACTCGCGTTCCAAGCGTGCAGTTTCCTTGGTCAGTGCTCGGCCTGCTGGGTGATTAGTTCTGAGTTTTTGGCATTGTGTGCACCGGTTTTACTCACTGATATCATCCGCCCGCGCCTTGTCCTTGAGAGCCTGCACCTGTCGCTTACGCCGGCTTTCCAGTCGATTTACCTCGCTCAAGCATCCACGCAATCGCGTCACCTCCCGCTCAACCTCGGGCGGAATCGCGGCCCTGCGACTGCTGGGAACGTACAGTTCGAGGTCCCGGTTTGTGCCGGTCAGCACGCGGAAGACCGCCTCCGAGGCTTTCAGCTTCTGTTCCACGAGGTTATCGCTACTTTGAGCTGACGTGAAGTACCCTTCAATCTCTCGGGACGTTGTGTAGAGCTTAGAAGCTGCTTCTTCGGACGACGCACGTGTCCACCGGTCAGTGCCATACCGGCGGCGTGATGCATCATCTTCTGCTTTCTCGGCCGCAAGAAGCTCTACTCCTTCGGTGTATACTGCTCTGTCGTTGCCCTTGACCTTGGCCGTATCCTCGAGAGACCTACGCAACCGGTAGAGACCATCCTGCTGGCGCATCTCCTCTGCGTGAGAGACCAAGGTCGGGGGTAGTCCCAACGGCTTTTCAAGTGCTTGTAGGGAACCTGGGAGATTGAGGGAAGAAAGCAGACTGAATTTGTCAGTAGGCTGGTCCTTATGTAAGGGTTCGAGGCACTTACTCTCGCAGTTTGTCCGTCATAGTCTCCAGTTCTCCGATGATCCTCTCGTTGACTAATCTATCTCTCCTATCAGAGTAGATGCTTGCCGCGATATGCACCGCGTATGGCACCAACTTTGTGAATAGCGGCTGGCCTAGGGGCCCGTTCTCCCCAAGCATCGAGACGGCATCTGTCACCTGCGACGGCGCTTTCGCGGCCACCATACACGCGCGATCGATCAGTTTCAGCTCCGACTTGGGCGGCACTGGATTTAAGTAGATGATATCATTATCCTTCTCCGCGCGCTTTAGATCCTCTGTGACGCGGCTCTTGAGGCCCTGCAGATCCCCCAACACCGTGCGGTTGATCCAACGGGACTCCTTGAGCGCCTCGTTCACACAGAGCTCACTGTCCTTCAGCCGCGCCACCTCCTCACCATACTTGCGTTTCTCCAGGCAATCCAACGACTGTCGGTACTGCGCCGCGGCCGCGAAGTGATGGTGCTTGGCAGTCATGTGGTGAATCCACTCCGGACTGATCGCATTCGACTTGACCGCATGGTCGCCCGCGTCGGCGTAGAAATCCGAGACCTTGGCGGCCAGTCGAGCAATCGAGGCGTCCTTCAGCCCGTCCTTCACGGCCTTCTGCCAGAAACATTCCTGCGCTTGCGCGAGAAGAAGCTGCTCCAGGCTCTGAAGAGTCATCTCGTCCATGTCTTCCGGCGGAGATGTGCGAAGATCAGGTAGAATATCGCATCGGAGGTGCACCAGAACGCCCGCCGCTTGGCAGAAGTAGTTGCATGCCTGTTTGAGTCCGTCCGCAGTAGTTCGGTTCACGGAGAATGCGAGCTGCGAGTACAAGGCCGCGAGATTGTATATGATGTTGGCGAGTTCGTAACGAAGGTTGTTTTGCGAGACTATGCAGTAGCCCAAAGGTATCAGCTTGAGGGGGGTTCT